TCTCTCTCTCTCTCTAACTCTCACGCCACACCCCCAAAAGCCTTTTCTTTTCATCCCCTCTTAGCCTCTTATTTCGGGCTGCCTCCTTTAGAAAAGAATTCAAAATTCCATCCAAAAATTCCTCTGAAAGTCAACTCTTTTGAATTCAAAAGATATGTCATTTCATCCAAGAGTCATATCCTTTCATAAAAGTACCATCCAAAGTATCTAGATGCATTGAATTACTCCAAAAGGTGTGTAGAACAAGTGTCCCTTTGAAAATTCGTGCAAAATTCATCTTAAACCGCCTTAATATGAAAAAGTCGTCCCTGGTGCCTCATGTGTTAGCTCTCATTATTTTGGCGCATGATGCGCCAGAATCCAAAATTGGCTATTTTTGCTCCAAATTTTGTCCTTTATGTCATTTTTGCTCCAAATGCCTAAAAAAGATATACCTGCAACAAAAATACAAAAATACTCTCAAACTCCAAATGCCTAAAAAAGATATACCTGCAACAAAAATACAAAAATACTCTTCTTTAAAGTGCAATATAACAAAAAATAGACATAAATTAGGTACTTAAAACAATAAATTATTTTGGTGTATCAATACAACGATATGATCTTATTTGCGATAACAACATTCTTTTGATATGCCTCTTTCAATAGTAATCACAAACAATGTAAGAATGATTCTTATTATCAGAAGTATTCTTGGGTATCTCCTATGATATAATTAACTAAAGGAACAAGTTCCTTTGTTAATTCCTCTGGATGTCAGAACAACGAATAAAATTTGGTTCTCTGATTGTGGGTTGCTTATGTAAGCTCTCCTCTTCGTAGATATGTTTTCAATTTATTTTGATTCAATTTCATTTTTGGACATATATTCTTGACATATCACACGAAGTTTGTCTTACCTAAGTTATCCATATTCATTTTTTTGTTTGTATAGAGATCATTGTATTTCCTCACTTTTTCAATAACTCATTTTCTCGGAATCGTTTTGACGATTTAAGAAAGATGATTATATGGAAAAGAGAATTATATAAATGAGCTGACAACTATGAGTTTTTTTTTTAAGAACACACTCGTTTGAAATTGTCCTGCGCTTGAAATTACATGTGAATAATGTGTGAATTCGGCTCGATTTATATATATTATTCATGTTCATCTTGAAATTGATTCATTTAAATTAATTAAAACGATGACGTAAGATGTTGGCTTCGAACCTACATCAAATCTGCTTAATAGAAGACACAAAACCATATCACCTAACTCTTATGATTTAAACTTAGATATATATATATATAATATATTATTATATAAATAATTATATAATTTTTTTATTAAAAGGAGACGAGGAAAATCGGAAAAAAGAAATTATTTATGTTTGATTTATTTATAATTGGAGCTTAAGAAATTTAATTATATTTAATTCATTTTTAACTTGATCAATAATTTAGATACGAGAGCTATTTATGTATGTCATACGCACGCAATTATGCGTGCGTATGACCCCGAATAACCTTCCAATAACTCAGTTATTGGGGGTTATTCAGAGGTTATTGGGGGGTATTAACCCAATAATACTCAATAACCTCCCAATAACCTAGTAATACATTCTGTGATTCGACACTCAACTTTTTTCCTGTCATTCGAGGGTTTCATGAGGTTATTGAGCGTACTAACCTCAATAATGCTAACATAATTTTGCAATACCCTCCAAATAATTTTCATACACACATAATGTTGCGTGTGTATGACGTACGTAAATATTTTTCTTCAGAAACAAACTACTTACGAGCCCTATCCCGGGAAAAAGATTTCGTATGTCGAGCGTACGCAGCGCTAACGTCAAGCAATTGTAGGCTGCCACCTAAACAAAGTCAGCCCCACTGCTTCAACTGTTAAGATTCTACGTGTGACATGTCGACCCGGCTTGCAGATCTAACTCCCTTATACTCGCGAAGGAACGGCGGCAATATCGCTCCAGTAACCGCCTAATAATGACTGCCTGGTAACGCTGGAGAAACCGCGACGCCTTTGCACCCCTAGATTAACTTTATGGTAACCTCCGGGAACTTCCACCAGTAAGCCTTACCTAATCACGCGCTGGTACCTCCTCACTAACATAATGCGAGACTGCTTAGTGCTCCTCTTCCTCTCTAGCTACAATTACAACCTCTTGTTGGGGAGATTTTGGTTGTTGTACTTCACCTGCTTCCTCTTTATGAAAGGGTTTTTGCTGAAGTAGTTCTTTACATGCTGCCTCTTTATTTATAACTTCAGCTTGTCATACAATTACTAGGACAGAAAAGAAGAATGATATTAAAAAGATGTATTGAAGGAGGCTCTTATGGAATATTTAACTCTTAAATGATATTCATTTTTGTTGTCAAAATCTCTTCCACATTCTCAATACATACAACTTCTTCACCCGTCTCATTTATTGGTAGTTTCTTTTTCTTTCTTTCGAAAACAATAAATGGGGAACTGAGAGCCCTCTTTCTTCTATTCTCTATTGTCTTAATATTTTGGATCAAGCTTCTTTGTGAGGACTCTTTAACCCATCTCTTCGGCAATTCCCCATCTTTCTTTTTTATTATTTTTTCTAAATTATTGACCTAACACTTTAACTCTGTAACTGTATACTCTAAATTCGTCAAACCACTTTCAACAGAGCCTTCAAAGTCCAATATAATTTTTTGTTGATATTTCAGTAATTTATGAATCTCTTCAAATCCAATTCGTGGGCTACTATGATCATATGTACATCCATGTGTTGGTTGGGGACCGATATGATAAGAAAATATAGGAGCAACCTCAACCAAAATGGGCGACTGTGGTCTGGAAGCGGTCTCCTATTGTGGGAGAAGCTTTGCAGGACTACAGGGTTCTTCAGGGGAAGTGGCAAGTAAGTGATGTTCACTATCTTTTACATCAAGAAAAAAATCATTAACCTGCAACTGCAACACATTAAAGAAGACAGTTAAGGTTAAACAAAGTATAACATGATCATAATACCACTTTCTGCAAGATTCAAAAATAATTAACTCACCTCGGTAGGGCAAAGCCTATTAAAGGCTAGCTGAAGGTGTTAAGAATTCCATCTGACATTTATTTGCCACCTCAACATTCGTGGTCTTGCCTCATAAACTACTGGGACGATCAAAGGACGTGTGCTCATAAAATCAGAGCTGTGTGAAGCTTGACAAAATAATTAATTGCTATGTTCAAAATTATGAAAAGAGCTTTGAAGAGTTATGTACAGGGAACAAACCGTTAAGAAGAAAGCAAAACTATTAATGTATCCAAGTGGCTGCTTCGTCCTTATTTTCATGGCACAGAGTTTAGGTTGCTCAATAAAAAATCCAAGTACTGTAGCAGGCCAATTATACGAGATAAATGCTTCTACATCCTTGCAAAAAGAAGACAGCTGTTTGGATACTCTAAAATTGCTTGAAGGAAAAATTAAATTTGTCAATAAAAAAATTTATTAATATTTCTACAAAACGATCAGATGACTCCCCTGGAGCAAAATTGAGAAGTTCGGCCTTCATTTGTCTTGCATCCATGTTACACAACAGAGTTTTATTCCAGCATGCGGGTGACCTTCTATTAGGCATGCCTATCAGGAGGGCAACTTGGTCTTAATCAAATATGTGCTCTTTACCACCCAATTGAAATGTCATTTAATTAATATCCCAACTGTTAATTATGTCATTGTCAGAATATGATTTTGGGAGTTCCGAGGGGAGTTCAAAAAACTAAACCAAACTCATGACTTCCAGTTTATTCCATGTGTGCTCGTCGATGGATGGCTAGACCTTATCAAGAGCTTCTCTTGCTGCAGATGGATGACATCTACAATTTATGAATTTTGCGTTAAAAAACCTACAAGAATACAACATAATAATTAAACATGAAATGAACGTTCGAATGACAACAAATAGTGGTAATTGTAAATAATTGCAACAATAAATTTAGTTATCTTGAATTATTAGATTTAATTTTTTTTCTCTTTAAAGCTACGTATTAAACATCAAGTACTCCAAATTTCAACAAAGATTAAATCATTTCCAATAAGAATTGTATATGGAACAATTCGTAGACAGTGGAGCTTGTCAGTAATCAAAACTACTAAGTATAAGCATACATTTATAGTATATCTAGTCGACTACCATATTACTTTGGACAATTATATTTATGATCACTTGAAACCACCATAACAGAACCTTAGGCATAACAAAGCAAGGTCTAAAAATACCTAGAAGTATTCTGGGGCTTCTTAATAAATTCGCCTCCCTCGGTCTTGAACTCTTGTAAATCCTTTTTCTTACGACCACACTTCGACATTTTTTTTGCCTGATCGACCTCTGGCTTCTTCGCCTCTTCGACGTCCAGCTTCTGCGCCTCGTCCAACTGCGCAATATTTGCCTCTTCCAACACGGCCGTAGTCTCGCCGATGTCCTCCATTTTAATCTTGCATCACAAACCATATAGGAAACCCTAAATAGTAGCTTAACGTTCTTGAAGAAGAAAACCCTAGGCACGAACGATAACCTAAGCCTTGATTTTCGAAAAAAAGTTCTTATTGTGGGGAAAATTTTTACCACGGGTATTGGAGCAGTTCACAGAGGTTTATAAAATCCAATTCGCTGTTATTTTAACTACGTTTTCCGGGAGTTAATAGAAGGTTACATGGATGTTACTGAGGAGGTACCCGTGCGTGATTAGGTAAGGCTTGCTGGCGGAAATTCCTAGAGGTTACCAGAAAGTTACTCAAGCGGTACACAGGCGCGTGATTTCTCCAGCGTTACCAGTTATTAGGGTGGTACTGTGACCTGAATAACGATGATTACAGGTCGATTATTAGGCGGAGCGGTATTGCCGCTGTTCTGCCGTTAGTATAAGGGAGTTACATCCGCGGCCTGGTGGGTCACGTGCGGAATCCTAATAGTTGAAGGGGTGGGGCCGACTGTCCAATTGGTGAGGCAAATTTTTTCCCCTCGCCAGCCCCTCTTTTTTTATTTTCGTCGCCGCATCTTCCGCATCTTCAAAATCTCGAGTTGCCGGCACATCTCCGGCGAAGCTGCCGTCATTCCGCTATCGGGAGGAAGCGGGGGAGGAAACATTCATTTATTGGACAGTGACGTAGAAACCCTGACAATCAAAATTGATTTTTCCTAACTGGGTTCTTGCCTTTTTATAGCTCCGTTGGGGAGCTTAGGGTTTGTCCAATGGCGAACAGGACGGACCCGACTGCAAAGAGCATTCATGGAACAAATCCGCAGAACCTCGTTGAGAAGATCGTCCGCTCGAAGATCTACCAGAATACCTATTGGAAAGAACAGTGCTTCGGGCTTACAGCCGAGACGCTTGTTGACAAAGCCATGGAACTTGACCATCTCGGCGGCACCTTCGGAGGCAACCGCAAGCCTACCCCTTTCATTTGTCTCGTCATGAAGATGCTTCAGATACAGCCCGAGAAGGAGATTGTTGTTGAATTCATCAAGAACGAGGATTACAAGTTTCTTAATTCTCCCATCCAATCGTTTTTTTTATTTGTTGCTTTTCTTGTCTATCATTATTGCCTGTTCTCCTTTATTTTTTTTTTGGCTGAATATGAACACACTTTGGCTATTGAATTCAGGTATGTCCGCATTCTGGGTGCTTTCTACTTGCGGCTTACGGGGTCAGTGACAGATGTGTACCAATACCTGGAGCCGCTCTATAATGATTACCGGAAGCTACGACAGAAACTTTCAGATGGAAGTAAGGTTTTATTCTATCGAATTTTCAACTGTCTCTAGTGACTATCATATTGTCTTTTTAAGCTGTTCTTATTCTCGTGAACTCAGATTTTGCTTTGACTCATGTGGATGAAGTGATTGATCAGCTTCTCAAAACAGATTACTCAATGTGATATTGCCCTCCCTCGCATTGCCCTCCCTCGCATTCAGAAAAGGTAAATTTTCTCCCTGATATCAAAACATGAGTTTATTTTTCAACTTGCATGCTTGACTACTTCAATTTATGGTATTAACAATTGAAACAATCTGTGTTTCAGTTTATAAGCGGTAAAACTTCTATAATATGCTACTTCATACTTATAATATGATGTTTGGATCCCTTCCTGAGCTTGCTTCTCAATATGGATTTCGCTGCAATTAAAATAATAACAAGTGCCAAAATGACGGAGTCTTGTGCTGTAGCCGAGTAACTGTTATAACTATAACTCTAGACTTCCATTAACACCGAAGGTAACAAAAATGACATTTCATGCCAATTCACTGTTTCCAAATGCAATATGTTGGTAAATTTTAGAGGATCTTAGAGCTCATGGCTTTCAATGTTTATACATGTCAGTTTGGCTTGTTTGGTTATTTAACTGTACGTTGTGTTCTGTAATATCCTAAATGATTTTCATCGTAATTGACAAGCAGCCACTCTGTCTCTTTGCTTTTGCCAAGTACCTTTTTACTAGTTAGAAGTTATACCTATAATCTTAGTAAAGACAGTATTGTGTTGCACTCATTTAATTTGAACAGTAAATTTGCTTTGTCATGCTGCCATTCTTCTCATTTTTTGCCATAATATTTAATTGCTACATCTAATGAGTCTCATTTTTATTTGCTATATGCTGTGAATATTTATAAAAAAATGTTCACAATTTTAAGATGTTCAGTTCCTCTGTACTTTGTATGGTGTTACAATATCAAGAAGTTAGATTTTCCACCTTTTATGTCAGCAATTTCTTTTAAAATGTAGTAGTGTAGCCTTCATCAAGTATTGTGACCAGCCTTTTATTATAGCATTACTTATTTACCGAATACTTTGTCTATATTTGCCTATTTTAAGCTTGATCCTTAAAAGATGGTATCAAGCAAAAAGCAGTATTTATTGCATGTACATCCTTATATTCTATTCTAATTTATTAAGAGGACTTGTTTCTTGAAAGTTCATGCATTGGCATAAAATGGCTTTTATTAAAATGTTTTATCTAATTAAATGATAGTAATGGACTTCCCAGTATTCCACTTATTATTATATATATCCTTAAAATTCTGAGCATTTTATTATTTAATACTGCCATTTGAGGATTCCTCCATGAATGCCATACATGTGATTTCTGTTGTTCTGCATTCTTAAGCGCTTTTTTTTGTTCTTTACTTTCAATAGGTTAAGTATCTATCAGATAATCGCTTTAGAGCAATTTACTAAGTTTTCCTTAAAGTAGTTTCAGATATTGCATACCTTAGGCCAGGCTACGTATGTGGTTCTTTCTTTTTTGATTGCTAATGACAACCTAATGAACCAGACGATTTGCTAATGTAAATCAAGCTTTATCTAACTTATCATATGCCGCTTATTAATATGGTTATGTAGAAGATGCAACTGATTGTTCAGAAAAGTTTTAAATATGCTTCAATGATAAATAAACTATAGGAAAAAATGTTGTTTTGCTTAGCTGTTTCTGATGAAATTGACTATATGAATGAAACTTTGCTATTTCAAAGAACCTTTTTCCCTGAATTTAATAAAGTGTTCTATATATTATTATTGCATTATTTTTAAGTTTTATTTTTTGCTTATGTGGATTATAAACATATTATATTCATGCCTATCATTGTAACAACAACAGATGGACCCTTGAGGCTTCTGGAATTTTGGAACCTAGGAGGAGTGCTCTAGAAGATGATTTTGAGGAGGAAGAAGAGAAAGAAGATGAGGAACAGGCTATGGATGTTGATGCCAGCACCCATGAAAAGGTTGAAGTTGACTAATTTTTTAATTAAAAAAGTTCAAATTTCTTATTACTTCTATTCTTAGCCTGTCTGCTCTCGTTTTTTGCAAGGATTTTTATCGTGGACGAAGTCCAACAAGGGAGAGAGATAGAGATAGAAAGCGTGACAATTTAAAGTATAGGTAAGTCATACATAATTAACAACACGAGTCACTCCTCCCCCCCCCCCCCCACCCCCCCCCCGCACCCCC